ACTTCTTTAGTTGGTGATCATTTCCTTTATTCCCATGACCTTAATGTGTGATTCACAGGTGATATTGTGAGGAGAAATTAGATGCTAGTCACACTGAAGAATCAAAGGGTTACCTTTAACTAACAGAGATAGAGTCTGAGAGTCCATTTTGGAGAGCTTCCCTTCTCATATACTGGTGATCATTGACAAACATGTGTAGATCTAGACTTCAGCTCATCACACCAAAACTTAGAATTTAAGGGCAGTGTTGAAAAGTAGTATGAGAAGAAGGTTAAAGAGGGGTGAGGTGGGTAGAGGGCTGGATGGCAGCAGGGCCTTGAATAATTCATCTCAATCGTCTACTTTAAACTTCTCAAGCTTTAGCTGCATGTGTTCATAGCTTCCTGCTTGCTGCTTTGAAGTGCATACAAAACAACCAGAAAAGTAGGCCAGGTCTAATAAAATGGCAACACACAGAATAAGCCATGCTAATGAATCACTGCAGCAATTAACAAAAACAAAAGAGTAATATATTTTCATACCCTGATGGTTTTCCTTCAGAATAACAAGGTGTTAAGAGGTTTTCTATGCTTCCCCAGGATCTTGTGTGACCCTACATGAACAATAAAAACCTTACAACTGACTCTGATCTTATCAAGAATAAATGATGGCAACAATTGCGTGTACTTAATTGACCTCTCCCCTGACGGGGCTTTTCAGGGCCAAACAAACAAACTGGAATCACTGTATGATAAACATAGTGTTTAAAAAACCCAACTGGCAGGAGGCAGACCAATTGGCTATATAGAAAGTGCAGCAAAGGAGTTGATTTAGGGGAAACTGAGAACAAATCCAGTGAGGAGCAGAGTGGAGGGCTTGACAACTGAAAAATAAACATTTCTGGTTTTGTGCAGGCTTAAATATTCGACTGTTTTGTGCATTGACTGGCCAGTAAAAAATTTGTATTTAACCCATCAAAGCATAGGAGGCATAAAACAATTCCATTTGAGTACTCACTGGTGTATCAAATTCTGGAACAACTCTGATTCCACGCATCCTTCCATATTCCACAATATCATTTACATCGTCTTTTGTGAAGACATGAGTTTTATTGTTGTATGCACCCTTAGAAAATGAAGCACAACATGCAATCAAGAAATGCAAGGCTGGAAAGAGAATTTCTTCACAAGCCCATAATAAAAGTATAGAGAGCCAGTAAGTTCCTATATAAACTATGGTGCTGCATCGGTGCTGCATTAGCAGGATGAGGTATAACAAGATAAATTTGGCTATAGTAATGGCTACTGAAAAGAGTTTCTAAAGCTTTAAAAACTCTTCACAGTGGCCAATTTACATGATCAACTCAGTTGATAAAACCAAATTCATAAAAGAAAGCAATTTAAATACATAAATAATTAAGCAAAAAATTTTTGATACCTGCCCACTTAGCTGTGGAAAAGTTTCACTGACAAAAGGAAAGGATTGATCATCCACAACATGCCAATGAAAAACATTAAACTTGCTGTATGACAATGCATCCTAAAATTTAAAAGACCTTCAGATGACTATAATGACAGATAAATTGCACAAATTCATGTACACATCATTGGACAGGTGAATGAGACCAGTGTCTTTAAAGGCTGTACTGTATATAGGTCCCTAGTCTATCTGTTACATGAAGTGATTTTAATTTCCTCCTCTAAGGTCAACTGACACCAATCATATTTAAACCCCAGAGTGGAAATTGCATCCTAAGAGCTACATGCCTTGCTTAGGAAAGAGTGCAACACATTTACCACTACCACTTGGTCTGGCCTTGAAATCTTGTTTCTTATTCTGCAACTATTTGGACTACAAAACATTGGGCCACTCAATCTCAGTGTATGCCAACTTCTCTCTAAGACTTTTATTTCCACAGGGAAAAATTTTACCTCTTTCATTTGACTACGAGTGGTTGAATTATTTTGAACATTTTGCATTGTTGAATGACATGAGTGTTCCTCAGTGACTTAAAAGCTCATGGGGAAAGAATGGGATTAAGCAGTCTCCCACCCCAACCCCTAAAAAAAAATAGAAAGTAGTTAAATAAATTAATAAATTATCATGGGGTTGGGCATGGGTAGGTTATCCATAAACAAACATTCTCAGATTTAAGACATCTACAGAATGGTCCAATGTTCCTGGCTTCATGCAAAACAAATTTCTTTAAACATCAGAAGAGAGTACACATTGAATTCATATGTTTAAGATTTCTTTCAGAAACAATTATAATAAAATTCTCACAATAAACTTGAGGATGATCGATGGATGTAAGTAGTGCCTTGAGGTGTCAATCATGAACCCTCTGTGCTGAAATCTTGGATGATCAACTATTTTGGAGCCATTGGCCAAATACTATGAAAAAAGAAGGAAAAATGAATTTAATATGTTTTGACATTTTATTTTAAAATAGTATATAGATTTGTTTACCTTCGATGTTTTCTTCACATTTGTTAAGTTTAAACTGGCAAGAAATGTAACTTATTTTGACATTCAGCCAATATTCAAAAATAGAAGTGAGTTAAATAATTGAACATCAAGAGATTAAATAAAAAATAAATGACCGCAAAGGTAATTGCTCACCAATCCCATTTGATCTTGATAAACAACTTGACTGAATGTTTCAAGACCTGTTTAAGAAAATGAAAAAAGAAACGACAAAAAATAAAAAACAAAAGTAAATTTTCAGCTGTAATTCATACAAAAGGCTAATAAAAACTTCATATCTGATTAAATTTCATTATTGTTCTGTCAGCTGATCTTAATTAGTATACTAAGTGAAATATTGCTCAGCTAGCTTAATTCTTGTAAATTCTCCACTCTAGCTGTGAGAAATTTTCTTCTAAAGTAGTAAGGAGAAGTTGGTGTGAGATCACAATACCTTCTACATGATAAGTTTGAGTATTCTCATTACCTTTTCAATGGATAAAGTATGGATATTCCAGGGAGAAGTTACATATTAATCACTTCTGGAAGTTAAAGGGTTAATTTTAGGTATATGAACTTTTACTCATCTACATTTGTTTCAAGAATTCCAGGACAATTAACTTGGTATTAACTATCTAAAATAATTCTCTGTTTCCTAACTGGTGACATACATTCAATAGTTAACGACCGTTCACTGAAGTGGAAGTGGGTAGTGGTAGATATTTACTAGGCCTTGTAACAGCGAGGTGAATATCCAACACTAGTCACCAGCTGCACCGAGGTGAGTTGTTGTTAAGTATAAACTAAAACAGTAAGATAATATAGCACAAAAAATTATTTTAACTCATTTATTCCTACAACCACTACAATATTTTCAAGCGCAAATCCTGCATGCATCATATAACAAGCTAAATTTGCACATATTTTTTTAATTGGTTTACACTTAAGATCTAATCAGTGGAGGACAGACACAGATGATGTCACCATCACCAATTTTTGGTTTTTTTATCATTTAAAACTATTACATTCTATGTTGCTGTGGTCTGTACAGTAATAGATCACAGAAGACATCAAATGGTGAAAACATCAGTGACACACTCCACTGTGCCTCATGTTTCCACTTTAATTGTTTTTACTACATTTTGACATCATCTGTGATATATTACTGAACACATGCACAGACTCATGGAATCTTTTTGTTACTTACAAATAAAAAATATGTATACCTCGTAATGCACCCCACACTGTGTTAGCAGTCAAAGAAGTAGTAGGTGCGTCAACAACCAGGATATCTTAATTGGAAAATAAACACTTAATCAACACTCCTCTCAAACCAGACACTGTAGCTTCCCTTTCCCCCTCCCTCCCTCCCTCAGGGTGCTCTGCCTCATTGAGGCCATGGTGTTCATTCATCTATCTGGGTCTGAAATCAAGTAAGGTTTGTACATCCTTTGGAGCCATCATCTGCTGGAATTAGGTGTGCTTCATGGGAACACAAAAATTTCACTATTATTCAGATCTAATAAATTAGGATGCGGCAAAGTAACCTGTTCTGGTCTAAAATACAATGGTGGTTTTAAGGGTCATTCTACATATTCCCCTATTTTTCTTGGGTAACCACCTCCCTTCCCGGTTTAACCCCTCCCCCTCCTTACTTCGAATTATATAATGTTCCAATTATTTATGTGCCTTCTTAGTTGATGTCAAGACATCATCGAAGACAAAAAATAAAAAAAAGGATAGCTTTAAAGAGATAATTTTGAAATGAAAGACAGATCTATAGATGATCTTACACTTACAGGACTCATCAGACTCTAGTGAGGGCGGAGCGTATTTGTCCAACACCTTTACTGTCAGTTTAATAATTTGCGACAACCCGTCTTTAGGTTTTTCAACTGCATCTGGAAAAACCAAAACCTTGTAGCGCATTAACGCTTGTTTCAGTACGTCACTGGTTTCACCCACTGAATCGAAAGAAAAATTATTCGATGTAAGCGTGTAGACCTTGCCGGTTCCTTTGTAAGATTGAGGCTTTGGCCAGATCGATCCCGTCACATAATTGATCACTGCTTCCTCTTTATCGGCATCTTCTTCTACTTCTTCCCACGGTTCAGAAAGACTGCCAGAACAACTCATCAAAGCAAGAGCCACGAAAAACAGCTTCAGAAGAAACATCTTTCAGACGATAGATTTGCGTGAGAGCGTTGGATAATGCGGCCGCGCTACTGTTGTTACTGTTGTTGTCAGACATAAAGGACAAGTCACAAGACAGTCGGGTGATTTCGATCATGTGACAACAGTCACATTTTTTTTTCGGTGGAGCGCAATACTGTAGCGACGTAAGAATCGTCACCCGTCGACTCTTGCGCTGCTACATGATCGCGCTCCCTCGAAAAATAACAATGCTTGATTACAGGTTGACGAATCATTTAAACGTAACATGTACGAAAACACAGACGGTAGGCGATACACGGTAGACGATCGATTTTGTAACGCAACATTATCTCAAAGTTCAAAATGATCACGCAATCGCGTAAACGTCAACAAGAGAAGTAAAATGTCAATAATTTCAACAGTGTCTTCTGTTATAATTGCAAAGTATTGTCGTAAAAATGCAATGTGCTGTGAAGTACCGACGCCAAGATTGTAAACTAAGTTTGTACACTGATCAACTGATAGGCTAGAGACAGTGCAGGTTCACAGCAGATTTGGACCCCCCGCAGATTCGTTCGTAAAGCCTATGATAACTTAACCCTTTCACTCCCAAGATCTGATTAGTAATTCTCCTTACAATCTGCCATACAATTCTTATGATGCTAGTTCAGAGAATTTGGTATTGGATCAACTAATAATCCCATAACTGATATTCTTCTCTATTCTCATCACCTACCTGCTTGATATTGTATTGATATTGTAAGGAGAAATTTTGTCTTGGTCACTTGTGGGAGTGAAAGGGTTAAAATGCATCAATTCTGAACTATTGGAACTCTCAGCTTATTATTAAATGCAAATCAACATTAATGTCTACGTCTTAACAAAAGTGGAGACTATTAAATAGAACTCAATCTTATTTTCTAATGTTAACGATTATTAACTGTTGAGAGATCCGAAATAACACCTTAACAATTACGAAAACGCTTGAAGTCTGGTGGTCTGCAAGTCAATGCAGAGCCACTCGCCCTCCGGGGCAGTCCTAAATCCCACGCAGCTTAAGTGCAAGCACATTCAGTTGCACAACTCGCACAGTACCGTGTCGTCCCAACACTCGGGCATTGAACAATAACCAAATAAATTAATGTCACAAACGACCTTTCTCCAAACCTAAAACAAAATGCTTGCGTATTTTCTCTTGCTCAAAAGAAACATCCGACAAGTCACTTCTTGCCGTGTTTTAATACATGATATTACAGCGCAGGCGCTTGTTAAAGGAAATACCGTTACAGGAAATGAAAATAAATGACATCGCACTGAATGATCTTTAAGTCGTCTTTACGTGCGTCGCAAAAAAAAATGATCTTTGAAGTATTGGCAGAGCAAAGGTAAAAATATCAGCTCCTTTACCTTACACACAACCTTAACCCAAAAAAGACTAGAACTAAAGAACCAAATGCTGGAAAATAATGACATTAATAAACAAGAGAATATATTCTCTTGTAATAAATAGTGATAACTCTAAATCTTTGAATTAAAATCTTCGTCATTTTCATACTCAAGTCAAATTTAAATCCCCAACTTGTATTGAGCCTCTCTCCACTGCACAATTAATAATTCTACATAATGAGGACATTTTTGGAGGTCGCGACTGTTGCAGAAAAACTGTGAAATCTGTTGAATTATTTTCATAAAACCCTGAACTCAACAAAGTGCAAAAATTTTGAGATGCCTACATGCCGAACTTTAAAGTTAAAAGGCCTGTGAGGGCAGGATACCTTACCAGAAAAAGTGCATCTTTAAGAATATATACAACTTGATCACTAAAGGTTTTTGCCGTCTGTTATTGTATAAACAACAGCCTTCATTTGGCGCGAAAATATGCACGGATATTTGTCCACGGTCACTATCTGTTCCGAGATGCGAACAGTTTTCAGAGAGCAAACCTCGGGGAAAACTGTGAGCTTCGTTGTAATTACTTTATGTAGTCAACAAAACATCAGAATATCTCTTGTCAAAATAAGTAGTTTACTGAACAACCTTATTTGCATAAAAAAATTGCTCCATGAATTTAAAAAGGCCAGCTAAATTCATTATGGTGCTACGTATTTCATGTCACCGTACGACTAGGGCTTTCGATATAAGCATTTATGTTCGTGTATCTCAACTAAAAATTTGTCAAAAATACCTCAAAAGTATTTATGCGGGCAACTTCACAAACAGCTCTATAAACTTCGATTATGAAATGTTAAGTTCTTTGCCCAAAAAATGACATTGTGTCTGATACTAAGACGAGTAGCTTAAGTCACTTATAATTCCTAAAGTCAGTCCTCATGCCTATTTCTCACTTGTTGAATGAACCTGGTGTTGATTATGACATAAAACGTCAACCTGAGGTAGTGCTTATTTCACGATAGATTTCACCCCGTCTTCTTCCCTCAGTGGATTGCCTCGTAGCTTCTGTGTCATTAGATTAGGAATGAATCTCAAACTGTCCAACAAACCACGCAAGTCCCACTCATCCAAATTTAAAAGTCTAAGATCAACAAACCACAAGCTGGGAAAGAAACGAAGACACTCAGTAAGTGAAGCGAGACAACCTCTGCGACTGAAAAAAGAGAATTCAAAACCTTCTAAAGCTGAAAATGTTTTATTAAATCCACTAAATAGAGCCTCTATTTCCTCCACTTGTACGGTGCTCCACTTCCTCCCACTTAACGAGAGACATTTCAGGAAGTAACTGACCAACTGCCGCGGCTGTTGCAGGAGTCAATCTCATGTTCCACAGATCCAATTGCACAAGAGTCTTGTGTGTGATGCGAGAAACCAGTTTGGTTTCTGCTTCAGCACAGCAGAAGTTATCCAATTCAAGGCTTAATATCATGAGGCCGTTGTTAAATCGCGGTAACAAACCATCGAGCTTCAATGTTTCAGACGATTTCAGACGGAACGTAATTTCCAGCTTCAGACGACACGTGAGAGGATTTGGTATTTGTTCCAGACATTCAAAAGCACTCTCATTTAACACCGTCATTCCAATCCTTTCAAAATTCTTACAGTCTCTAATTATTGTACTAAAACAGCGCACTATCTGCTCGTTAACGTGTATACTAATGTTTAGAGATCTAAGAAATTTCAGAGATGACGGCTCGGAACACAAACTTGTGGAGTGAGATAGAGTAAAATTCTCAGTGAATAGTCTGGTATGGTCATCACACATCAGTGAAAATTCAGTTGAGAGCCTCTTGTTCTCTTTCGAAGGGAACCAGGAGTGCAAAAGTCAGCAGATGGATGAAGGGAAAAATAATAATTTACCTTAACCCATCACAGGTTATTTTCCAATTCTATTAATTAAGTTTGAAACCCATGGGTCTGTTTATCAGCAAAGCAATTGAAATGGTGTGAGCAGAGTGAAAATTCCCATTAGTGCTTACAGGAGTATAATCAAGTTTTTTTTGGTGGACAGTATAGGAAGGCCAGATGGATAGTGAAAGTGTTCCTACAAAACTGACATTTTTTTGTTGACAAAAATATCAACAATTTATACTTAGGAAAGTGAAAATATTTTAGTCTTTAGGGCTCTTCATTTAAGAGCTTTTTATTGCTTTTTTTTCCAATTGAGAAGACTATTAGCTTTCTTTACCACACCACACTTAGACTGATAAGCCAGTGTATCTATGCCTGTTTCTGTTAAAGAGATTTAACTACATGATTGTTACGTAAGATCTGGGAAAACTTTATGAAGCCCATGCAGCAGGCACCCAGAAAAGTAACCATAATAAATATACACAAACAATATTTCGAACAAATACAGTGGTATATAAAAACAGAAAACACCATAATAGTGTTTATAATAGTTTATTTTAAAAATTACTAATTTAATTATTCATAATAAATATTGTAATAACATGCCTCCTGGGACTGATTCATTTCCTAGGTTTCAAGAAGAGGGGGAGGAGGGGGTTACTAGACAGAGGCCTGTAAGGGAGGCAAAGCTCATTAAAAATTCTAATAAATACATTGAACAGTTAAGACTCTTTAAGTGGAAAACATATGATATTCAAAAGGGAAACACACACAAAGATTTTTAAATACACATATTCATCATGCTGAAGCACTTCCTAGCTAAAATGGACAACAATACCCAAGGACCTTTACATCATTTTCCCCAGAAGTTTAAAACAAAGTCATTCACACCAACCACTCAACCCATTATTTCTGACATGATTGTCACAATACATAAGAGTAAAAAAAGCAAAAAGAACTGTGAAGAGTCCTTTCAGATTTGGTGCTCAAATCATTGTGTCAATACTGTTTGGTGATGATGAGCATGAAACTACCATTGATAGGTAAACATTAGATAGGTGGAAGGGATGAAAACAAGCAGGTGTCAACTGCCACTCAAATGTCCTGATGGCAGTTTGGTGCTCTACCCAGATTGTGCTGACTAAATCACACCAGTAGGTGGTTGCCCCAACAGAAATTTTGATCCAATGATTAAGAACCAGACAAGGATACTATTCAAAGTCATAAGATACTGGTACATCAAGAAATGCACTAAATTTCAATTTTTGCAGGTTATATTGCATATCAAGAAACTTTCATTCTAAAATTGTGCTTTTTTCAGAGGCAATGAGCAAAATTACCTTCAATATGAAGGAAGCTTGGAAATTTTAGTCCAACACAATAGGACAAAACCCAAAAGGGACAAAATAAACTAAATGGGAATGTCAATGGTTAGGGGATGGGGTAGATAAACTTAATTTGTTCAGGTTCCAAAATTTTTGCTAAATAATTTTTTTTAAGATTTAAAAGCTGTGATTTACAGCTGTAGCCCTGTTAATGACTATCAAGAGCAACATTATCAATGAACCAAGTCAGTTCTCCATTTTCTAGGTCAAGGCCAGTTATAGGGTAATTCCATATATCAACATTAACACTGGAAATAGTTTTCACTATATCCTTTTTCTGATCACCCAGAGCAAGAACTGCCACAGATTTAGCCTTGTTAAGCAAGCCAAAAGTCATTGTCATTCTCTTTTTCACTGCAGAATCTTGACCACTCTCAGATAAAGTAACATATTTTTCTTTCTCATTTAGAGCTGATTCATGGGGAAACAAAGAAGCTGTATGACCATCCGAACCTAATCCAAGAACAACAAAATCTAACTGATTATTGCTGAGGGACCTGCTGAGCTCAGCCTCATAATTTTCAGCTCCTTCATCACTTTGCTCACACAATCCACCTTTTAACATAACATGCATTGGGTGAAAGTTGAAAGGAGAAATTGGTACATGTTGCAAAAGTTTCTTATAAATTAAATAAAAATTGGATTCTTGATTATTTAGAGGGACACATCGTTCATCCACAAGCCAAACATGGGAATGATGCCATGGGAACTCTTTGGCCATAAATGCGAGGGTCTCATAGAGCATTACAGGAGAGGTGCCACCTGACAAGGCCAGGTGAAAGACCCCTTTGGCAGATACCTCTCTGAGGGCATGACCAATAATTTTATTGGCAAGAGTTCTTATTACTTGGGATTTTGTTCCAGTTACCAGATCGCTGTTCCTAAATTTTTCTTGTTTGTAATAGTTAGCAGATGGTTCATTGGATTTGCATATTCTGTTCGCATCACAACTTCCATCATCATTATTTGAAGAAAACTCAAGTCTTTCTCCTGAAGTAACAAAATTCAACACATCCAAGCTTTTCTGGTCATATTGGCGAGGTAATTCTCTTTTCAAAGTGTCCAGAAAATATGACCACACTTTCCAAGAAGATATGAGATCTTCCATTCCAACAAATAAGTTTTTCTGTTCATGATAGACAGCAGAAATTAGAGTTGTATAAGCATCAGCTGATTTGTTGAAGATAAATGCATTGAAACTGTTGGCTGAACAACCAAACAGCTGATCCTTTGTAATTGCTACTGATGATAATGGATTAAAAGACTTTGGCTTTGGAAGAAAACCTGAAAGAAGTATACCTGGTTTTGTGAGTTTCTCGCCTTGAATGTTAAACACTAACTGCCTGATATCACAGTTATTATCATATGATGCTCCAGATTGAACTTTATGTACATTGTCTTTAAAAACCATACGCACATAAGCTGTGCGCTCATCAAGCTGCTTTCCAGAAACCAAAATAAAAGGCACACCATCCCAGCGAGCATTGTTGATAAACATGGACACAGCAGCAAAAGTTGGGGTATTTGAATTGTCATCTTTTTTATTTTCCTGGCCATAGTGCGTGTTGTAATCTTTATACTGACCAATAACACCACTCCATCTATCCATAGCTTTGATCTCCTTTAGCAGCCTCACTTTATTTTGCATGATGCTTATTCTGTCATTCAGACTGTCTGGTAACTCCATGGCAACCAGAGTAAGAAGCTCTGTCATGTGATTTTGCATAACATCTCGGATAACACCATAGTGGTCGTAAAAGCTAGTTCTCCCTTCACAGTCATTCTTCTCTTTCAAAACAATCTCTACTCTTTCAATGTGATCACTGTTCCACAAATCTTTGTATAAGTTACGATTACTATACCGAAACTCTAAGATCTGAGCAACTCCTATTTTGCCAAGGTAGTGATCAATTCGGTAGATTTCCTTCTCGTCGAAATAATTCGACAAGCTTCGAGCTAACTCCTGCGCAGAGGCCAGGTCTGAACCAAAAGGCTTCTCAAGGACTATGCGAATCCAGCCATGTTTATCTTCAGCACGACGACAGAAGGAATCAATCCTTTTCGCTATCTGTGTGTACGCAAATGGAGGCACAGACAGGTAGAAAATGAGGCCCCTCTCTCTTTCGCCTGCCGCTATATCATCGCCCATAATCTGACACAGAGATATGAAATCTTGGTCATTTTTTAGTCGATGGTATTCCTTTACACTTTGATCCACAAAAACTTTCTTCTTCTCTAAGCACCAGTTTAACGTTTTGCTTTCAGGACACTTTAAAGACGCTTTTAAGATATCATCAATCTTTTTCTGGCCAGACTCGACACTTTCACGCGCCGTAGGGTAGACTCTGACAGTACTCCTCTCATTCGATTCTTTTATGAAGAGCGAGAAAAAACCTTGCCATAAATATCTTTTTGCGAGGTCCCCAGTGGCGCCAATCAAAACAATATTAGTCACATTTCGCGGTAAATGCTGAGATTGTTGACTATCATCAGCAGAAATTTGTCTACCGGAATACAAAAGTACCATTAACAGCCTTGCCAAGGCATAGAGGTTAAATCTGTTCGGCACCATCTTTAACTTTCAAACCCAGTCTCCACTCAGTTCTGCATTTAGTATAACGCAAACTGCGTGACAAATCGTACTTCATTTCTATATTGTGCATTAAGACCTGAATTCTTCTCTTTTCTGTTTTTAATGTTCGATTCCATATCTTATTAGCTTCCCACCATCATCTACGTTTTTTTTAGATGCACTCAATAGGACGTTTTAAAAAAAAAAAGAAAATATCCTGTAGGATTTCCGGTTAACGTGACTGAAGCACGCGATGTAGTCATTACTTAAAATATCTCATTACATTCCAAGTTTAACATTTCGGTGAGTGATGAGGGAAATAACAAGATTAGGGGTAAATCTCACAGGAAATAATTAGTCTACTAGTAAATCACTTGCGAAAGCTTTAAAGCAAGGAAATAGAAAAAAACCTATCTGCACTGGAAAGTGAGCGCTAAACGCATTTTGAACCGAGCTTGGAAAGCGGCCCGTGTTTCGTATGGCCGCTGTGGAAACTTTAACTGGCGAACGAAGCTCACACAAGGAATTCTCTGATAGCTGTCACAACAGTAATTATAAGGTTGGTCAATTGTACTCGATGACAAGCAACACGGGGAAACCAGCGGAGCGACCGAGTAATATAAGCAATAATAACAATGTTTTGGAGATGTCGCTGTTCACTTCAGATGGGAAAGTTCTTACCGCTCCACAAGAGATGCCCTTTGGCGATTTAGTCGCAGAAGAGACCTCAGACCTTTTAACGCCAGATAGTCACGCTTCGGATGCCGACTTAAAAGGGTCAGAAAAACATGTTAAAGTTACGATTAATGGTTCAGTTATGAAACATTACCGAGCAGAGGAATGCAAAGAACGTTACTTAGCAAACTGTGCTAACGAACAAAGTGCTGAAACGTCTGAAAGTTCAGCGAAAGTGAAAGAAAGTGAAAGCCTTTCAAATGATCATGACGTAGCCATTTTAGAACAGAACGGACCTTTGAGTCTTAAAGAAAGGATTTCTAACATTGACATGAGCATTGAATGGATAAGAGGCGAACTAACGCTAATGCAAGCTCAAGATTTGTCGCTAAGACACCAATTTGAACAGCTTTTTAAAGACGTGATGGAATTAAAGTTACACCAGGAAATGGAGAAAGACGAATACCAATTTATTGAGGAGGAAATTTCATTTGAAGAGGAGTTCTAGAAACCGAAACTATTTTGATATTTTAGCGTATGCACATTCTATAATGAAAATATTAACTTGATGTCATCTGTTGCTCTGACAACAGCAGGTTCTTTTTAGAAAATACAATGTTTGGATGAAATTTTGTTAAAAATTAATATTGCGTAACACAATCGCTCTACGCAAGTGCTACGATTTTCGTTGCCCCCTGGAAAGTCGTGTGACTTTCACGTGGGTTCCACGTTTATGTGTAATTCGCCCAAGTAAACGCGATGCGCGTTGCCCAGGCTTAGCTAGGAAAGTTGGCCTTACGTATTTTTAAATAAGGAAGTTTATTTTTTTATCCCTGTGCCTTCTGTTAGCGTCATTTCCTCTCGAGAGACATCTTAGTCAAAGATCGGATTTGATTGCCCAAAAGAACAAAAACTGATCTACATAGACAGTCAAATAAGACATAGCACCTCTCCTTCGCCGGGGAAAGCTCTGCAGGGAACCACCTTAATTCATGAGAATCAAGTTGCAGCCCTCTCGGGAAAAAATTTCCCGGCTCAGTTAAACCTGTATATCTATTACCCCTATTGGAATAATATTGGTTCCCTAGCTCCCCAGAACGCCCTCTTGCGTTCTAATCATGAGGAAGTCTCTAAAACGAATTCCAGAAATGCTTCACAAAAACTTTGACCTTAGAACAGCCTTGGAATTTAAGAAAATTTGAAATGACGCGTATTGCGAACAGAGTATTTGCAATCTCTCTTTAATCACCCGAAATGCTTCCATAACAAAGTACTCAGTTGTTGTCTTTTTGCTAAGTTTACAATATCCTTTTAAGCCGAATACAACTTAATCTGAAAGTTATCAACAGATTTTGTTAAATCTATTCTTGATCTTAACAGGGCGACTTGAAGCTTTCAGATTTAAAGAGATTATCTTAATGGTATTTGAATGTACGTCCACCATTGTTACAAAATACGTTAAAAGATTTGAGGTAAGCCTACCCGCGGAAGCATTGGCTTTTGGTCAGATTTTCTGTCCATTGTTTCGGGCGTATTGAACTCCATAGCAAACATAAAAGACTGAGATCTGTCATCCGTCTCAGTCAAAAATAAATTCATCGATCGCTGTTGTCCAAAAAAGTATATTTTCGCTAATAGGTGTAACTGGCTTTCAGTGGATCAAAAGTCTACTTTTTTTCCCGTGAATTTGTGTTTTGAGTGTCTTATGTCAATATAACCAAAAGTAGATATTGCAAGGGATCGCAGATGGAATTGCTTTAAAACAGTGCATGTAGTATCTCGAAATATCTGATCAAACAAAAATTTTAATAATCATACGCACAACATAAGAGAAAAGTCTGGTTACGCACTAGATTTAGATTTAAAATTTATAAGCGAAGAAAGGACATGTTCTTGGAGATAACTTTTCTCAGCCCCATACTCTCCTGTACAACATTGACTGCACTGAAGACTTTATGTGCTCTTCATACCACGTACAGATGCTAGAGGGGTTGGAACAGCTTTCCACGATCGTTTTTTTTTTTTTAATTTTATTTTCAATTAAGATTCTTTAAATGTCGTTTTCGCTTTAATTTTTTACCGTATTTAGTCTAGGTAGTAAAAACCTTCATTAACATAAATATTAATCCCATTATCATAAATGACTTGTTGAATGCATGCTTTTCGATATGAAATAACTTTCCAATGGACTGGAACGAGTAGTGTAGATGTCATTCGGCAGGGTTTACATTCCTTCGCTTTATTGAGCAGTCTTTTTTTAAACAAATTGTTATACACCAAGGTAGCTCACTGTTTTGAAATTCGAAACAGTCCTGTAATAAGATCTAATAAATCGCCTGTTAGAAATCAGCGAAAGCAGGAGCCCATTAATGAGTAATGGGCTCCTGACGGAAGCTAATTGGTGCTTTCAGTACCGGTAGCAAACAAACAGAAGCTTTCTCCCTTTTCTCCCTTCCATATCGGTATAGCTAGAAAGTAATTGATTGTTGGTATAGTATTTCATGTATTATTGCTTTCTTTTCCTGATCATTTTGATCAATGGTCTGTGGTTAGGTGTGATAGTAAAATTCTGGTGTAACAACGGTATAATGTTGGATGTGAAAAATGGTATGTTGGGTCCGAACAGGATTATAAGATTTGGATACCAGTTGACACACCCAGAAGAAAAATTTCTCCCCCAACCTTCCCACAAGCAGACGCACACAAACTCACAGACCTTTTTACATGGCTCGTAGCATGCATTCTTTTCGATATGAAATAAGCTTTCCATCGGACTGGAACGAGTAGCGTAAATGTCGTCAATTCCAAGATGAAAAAGGAGACGAAAGAGAGAAAAGCGTGGTTGTGAGCAGCCCGAGTTAGATTTATCCCTACTCTAAAGAGTTTTTTTTCTCCAACCATTTTGGTTTTTTTTTCTTTCCTTTCCTTTCAATTCTTTCTTTGTTCTTCCCACGTAATTTAACGCATGCGCAGTCAGTCATTAGTCAGATAGCTTGTACACCGTGAGAGCTTGGGGAAAGTTATACGAGAAGAGAGAGACATGCGGGATATTGGCGCTTCGATTGAAATGCCAGACGGGCTCAGTGCATTAGCAGTAGGAAAGCTTCGTATTGCAAAATTCTATAAATATTAATTGATGCTGGAATGTATTTACGATCGGAACTCTCATAAACATAGCTTACAGAACAATGCAGAACATTTAAAGGTCATTTCATTGACAATTCACATAAAGCCAGTGAAAAATCGCGCGATTTGGTACCTCAATTTTAGCAAGTTACATCGCAAGAGGAAACCCTAACGAATTTTGCAATTGAATGACACAAACCATTTAGTTTTTTTTTATTTCTGCCTTTGCAAAGTATTTATAAGAATCTATCCATACTGTTCTCTATAAATTTCCTAAGGTGCTGACGAAGAAAATTTGTCTGTAAATAAGCAAGAGCTTCTATAACAGGGAAATTTACTATTATCAACTGAGTTAATGGCGTAAATTGGCCACCGTAAAGAGTTCAACTGAAAGCTGACGTTTCGAGCGTTAGCCCTTCGTCAAAGCGATTGATCGACGAAGGTCGTGCTCTTAAGAAATTTTCCTTTGTTATCGTCAGATTACCCATCTTTCTCGAATGGACAGAAATGCCCCAATATTAGTTTTGCTCGTTCCTCTCCTCGGCACTTTCTCCTATATTTCATTTGCGCGTTTTCCAATGAATTACTCGGGTTAGAGTTAGGTTTGGGCAAACCTCAAGCGACTAGAATCTTCGACAAAAGTATACGCGTTCTCCGGTGGTCAGAAAATCGCGAGAACCAACACACTCGGCGAATGCCGGCAAATGTAGTCGCGGGTGATGCAAAATTTTATTTACCGATTGTGACGATCAAAGAAAAATGGCCAACTGCGTCACAAGCTTTTAAATCATTACCTTGACGGTACAAATGATCCGCGGAGGGCCCATGCTCTCTATTAGAGGATAATATTATAAAGCTTTAATTTGTATGGGGGATTAGGCTCCGCTCTGGAACTCCGTAAATAATAAAGCAATTAAACTTTTGCTTTTAAATGGTGTTTTTTTGTGTTATTTTTGTTTTCAGGTTGCAATTTCAGGTCATTTCGTCGAGTTTTAGAATTTATTTGCTTTAAAAGTTATCATTAAATGAGATCTATGCAACCGTTTCTAAGGGTGTTATTCGTGAGAATGGAATCGAGTTTTTTTGACAAACTTGGAACGCAAAATCCATCCTCTAGCAGCTTCGTTCTTTACCTTTGATTAAGACAAAAGATTCGATGAAAGAGAGATTAAAAAGAACACCTCACCTCATCAACTGACGGAAATTCTGTTATCATAATACTTAATTAAATAGCTGGTGAATAGTGGGTGAGTAGTAATTGCTCAGCTGGGAAACATCAGCAAGATTTTTTAATATTTTATCGCGATAAACACAATGTTGGGAAGACTCTTATGTGTTATTTATTCGTAGTTCCTGTCATCAATTTATTAATTAATTATAACTTTATCTTATTTCATTCAAGGCAACATGTTCCTCGTGTTTCATTTTATTTCATGGCCAATTTCAAAAATACGCATTTCAGAGATGTCCAATCCGTCTGTGTGAAGTGCAAAGCCTAGGATCTAATTAAAATATTCAATTTTAGTTCTTATGCGAATAATATTCTTTGTCTCAATTAAGTGACAGTGGGGTTTTTCGAACTTGAGAAAGGCCCATTTCATTTCAGGGTTTTTTTACTGTAGTGAAGAATTCTGAACTTTTGAAGAAAATTTAATTTCAAAAAAGATTTTTCTTGTAAAGACAAGGAGTAAATAACATACATTTAAGATAGATCTCATTCGAATAAATAAAGATAATCGTAATAATTATAACCATGATAATCTGATAATTATGATAATATAAATAATGATAGTAAATTCAACTTTCATGCCGAAATAATAGGTTCTCTCTTGTAACAATAATAATTATAATGATAATCATTGAAATTTAGCACTGTCCACTGTCTCCAGGTCGATTTTAAATTTGGAATATTGGTTCTGATTATGGAGGGAGGAAAACCAGAGGACCTGGGGAGAGACCCTCGGAGCGAGAATCGAGAAAGAGAACCAACAACAAACCCCACAGGTGACGCCAGTGGCCCGTTTCTCAAAAGTCACGGTAGCTTATCAGGCCCGAAGCCATATTTTGAAATCAAAATTCAAAGATTAGAAAGGCAGGTTCTGGCACCCTAATCAGTCCATTTCCTTTCTTTAGCTTATAGTTTTATTATCATCTTCAAGGAAAACAGAATAGCTCTACGGGAACCTTCGAGAAACGTCCTCAAGTTCGGGAATCGAACCGAGGCCACAGAGGTGAGAGGCAAGCTCTCTCCCAGCTCCCACTAGTATTTACATTCTGACGTGATGACGAAGATTTACAATGTAGTTAGCCTTAAAAAGATATAGTTCCACGCCTTCAACTTAGCAATGACTTCAGTTTCTTCGACACATTGAGGAATTTGCGCGGGTTTTCGAAATTCGTCGAAAGACAAGTTCACGTCACACGTCAGCTTTTTTACCCTTCACGGTGGCCAATTTACATTTTCAACTCAGTTGTTAACACTAATTATCAGCTATACTCTCCCACCGACGCAGCATCACAGTTTCTTTACTTACCCTTACTTACCCCTTTATTCACGTCACAACTAGTATTGCAATAGTGAACATTTCTATTCATGACTTCAAAGGGAAATAACGTTAATCTCATTATAAAACTTTTCGTGGTAATAAAAAATACAGCATCAGGATTAACATAATTTAAAATAACAACAATAGTCTCTGTCACGCATCAGATGCAACCAGAAAAGTCACTCAAAGGCATTATTGATGGTGACATCTCCGTCGAGTAAGTAAAAAATGAACAGCTGCTTCGGCTTTGTTAAGTCTCGTCCACAAAGCGAAGCTTTTAAGACGTCTTTCAAGGTTCTTACGTGGAGAGAATAAAGTGGAACAATTAGAGTACACTCATGAGTTGCTGCTTTAGCGAAAATGCCTTTTAGCATTTTAGCGAAAATGCCTTTTTAGTGTTTTTTTTTCTTTTCCAGAGAGAGAGAGCATCTCAACACCTCAGTTGCCACCTAAATGTATATTCAGTGGCTGCCGTATAACTTGATCATCTTCATTTTTAAATCCTTAGGTTTTTAAAATATCTTGCTTAAGTTCTGAATCACCTTTCTATAACGTGACTTTAAATTTTAGTTTTCAGTACAAAAAAAATGATATTAACGTATGCTTACCAAAAAGAAGACGTGAGTTATTCATGCCGGTTAGCCTTCAATATTGCGCACGTACGTCTCACGGAATCATTTTACCAAACTGCAATTGATATTCGTTTCACATTACATCACGGAAATGTAAGCGATGAACGTGAGACATAAATATGGTACGTGCAGTGACTCTCGTTATGGATCGTTATGCACGACAGTAAGTTGTATTTGATCTAACAAAAATAACAAAACTTGTCTGCAGCTGGCAATAAGTACCACAATTTTAGCAAAAATAGCTGCTTAGTGGTGCCTAATGATTTTCCTCTTATACGAGGAGAGCAAGTTTCATGCAGCAAATAGTTTGTAGAAACAAAAGAGTGACAAATTGTCTTGATTAGTAGAAGTTAATGGCGTTATTGATCGTAGTAATCTATCAATGCCAGTCAGAGAAGATATTGGTTAAAACCATGTAAGGGGGAAAGGCGGCATGTCTCTCTTTACCTTCTTAGACGCGCACATCGGGGAATAGTTCTCCGGGTTTTTTTCTCTGCCGGACGTTTTCCCCCTAGTAGAGAGCATAGCATCTCAATTGCAAATGTCACAGAGTTTTAATTCAAATACTAAAAATCTTAACGTAGTAAGACAGCCAGTCCTTTCTTAGGCTAACGAATATCAAATCGATCTTAATCGTGGCTCGAGCCACAATACCCAAATTTCAATCGAATTAACAAAGGTTCAGTAGATCTTCAATTGATCAAATGTATTTCCCACGGAGCATCCTTTCGAAGATTCCCCAGGGAAGCCTCCGCTGGGCTCTTGGTGCCTTGCACCCTCACAGAGAATGAGACGAAGGAGTATCATTGCGCATGTCGACAGTACGTGGCAAGCGTGGAGGACGTAAATTTTAAACATACACACTTTCATATCTTTTATATTTACATCTCAAAGGGTGGTGGGGAAACCCGTATTTCAAGATCTGCTTTACTTATGAAAACTGCCAGCCGTTTGCTTCGCTAAAGAAATTTTTTTCTATCTTAGCGGAAACGTAGAACCCTAAAGTGGAGTCTATCTTTGATCAGTCATGATATTAAGGAAAGAGTTGAATAATTTCCGTGCTTGAATTTCAAACACAACGAAACAGAGAAAAAAAATTTTAAAAAAACTGAGGAATTTTGAATACCTCAAAAAAATTATAGATAATCATGTTCCTCAAAAATGTTTTCTTGACAAATTTAGTAATTTCGGAAGAAAAAAAAACGGATGACAAAACAGACTTGTTTTTAATTTTGTTGGCTGCAGAGGCGAATAACCTTTAATAATTGATAATGTTACCACTCTGGTCTGCTCTGTATACCCGCTTTTCAAAATTAAAATGTAAATTTAACAAGTAGCGTGCTTTTTCCGTGGCGCAAGGGGTGACTTGAGTCGTCAAAACTGAAGTTTATTTGATACCATGACGCCAAACTTGTCAATTTTCTTGCGCGGAGCATGATGTTTCCAAATCAAAGGAAGCTGTCACAGTCATTATGAAACGCATTTATTTCATATTAAAAAAAAACTGCCATTTTATTGCTTGCTAGCATTTGGATTTTTTTTCAACTTTTTCCATAACGTTCCCAAAAATGTCAAGGATACTAAATAATATAATAAATGACGATATGACATAAGCCGTATCGATAACGAATGATGAGTAACCATCTATTGCAATTAACAAACGTCAAAGGTACTTACTGACTCATAGTTAAGAATTGCTCAGAAAACATAAAATTTTAAAATTTTAAATTTAACTGAATTCGAGCAATATATCGACAAAATAAAGAAACTTTCTCTTAAAGTACTGATGTCCGAGGATAAAAGCAGTTGTCTGGTGGTCTGTTCAATAAGATCCTCTAGTTATTGTATGGTATAACATTCACGTTTTGAAACGTGACGTAGGATAGCTAAATATTAGAACACGAGAAAGCGAAAAACACGATTTGCATCTTAAATTCACCGCAACTGGTAATGAGTTTTGTCAGATCAATTTAACATTTATGTGTTTCCTGCCATTATTCAATGAAAAAAAATGGCATCGTTTTCCTGCGATTGCCATGGCAATGTCTAAATGTTATTGTTGCGAGCGTAGACAACGCGAATGAACAATGAGGTGATTTATATTCGAAACCTCCACTTTTTTTAAAGCTGGTTTTAATGGTCACAGTCCGAGTAATAGCGAGACACTGGGTTATCTTGATTAAGAGAAATAAGTTACCCTCGGCATGCTTTCAATTGAAATACAAATACATGGCGCCATCTTATGTGGCGAAAATGCACACACCCTTTGTTAGACTGTAGAATTTTGGCTTAACGAGCCAAAATAGTCCGCTTGAAAATTACAAGAAGAACATAAATTATGCAAGGGTTTTCTCTTTTCTATTGTAGCTGAGGATTCATTTAACCTTCTGGAAATTCTTCACCGTATAATTGAGCAGCAGTCTTTCTTCCTTCATCTAGACTTGAAAACACACAAAGAATACTTCGTGTACCTGATATCAGTTGAGTTCAAAAGTTATCGAGTATTCATTAGTGAGAACACGAAAAACGCGTGGCAAATTTATTTTTTTGGGTTATTCGTCGATCGACGTACAGTTGTGCCTTCACTGACAGTATGCTTGAATCGGTTAAATCTGTTACGACCGTTAAAAATATCATGGTTAAAAATAAAGATCCGTGTAGAGTTTCATTAGATAAAATTGACAGTTCTTCTCTTTTCCGCAACACACTGAACTTTTCGCGTTTAACATCATGGAGCTGAGGCTACGTGACGAAAAACGTCAAATTTTTTAACCTAAAGAGAGGAACAAAAACTGGGGCTCAGACAATGTTCTTATGAGTTTGGGGCTGTGTGTTGACTTTGATAAGCGAGTGAGCTCAGAGCTAGGGGGAAAAACGCTATACCGGAAAAGCTTTATTGTCAATGCAATATTCACAACAAAATAAAGATGACGTCACACCAGCTTTCATTTTGTGACAGCACGAGAGGAAAATTTTATCTCTTAAATGCGTGCCGGGAATTTTTGAGTAAATTTCCTTCCCGCGTATGTTCTGGAAAGGAAAACCGAAAAAACAACAACAAAAAATGGTTTATAGATGTTAGTCCATACTGCAGTTCACAGGAGGGCTTTTCAATGAACGGTTTTCTATCCACTAACTTTCAATAATTAGTGATCCAACTTTAATGAAGGCTTGCCGCTGTAGTGGATTTCAACTGCGCATGCTCTTAGAACAGGTGTTGAAGGTAGTAACGTCTTCGGTGCAAGCCATATTGTCAAGCCTACCAACCAAACAGCGAGTAATCTAGCGGCGGCGAAACATATTGTTATAACGAGTTTTTCTTGCCTTCGCGACGCTCGGCCATGCTCCTAGCGGACTCCGAGGACTTTCCGACGATGTGAAATCGCACTAAAGTTTGTATGCTTTCCTTCACTTCTTTTCCCTATGTTACCCCGGCTTAATTATGGCATTAAGTCAAAATACAAAGAAGCTGATTATACGGATTGTGTTATTTCTCGTCTACCTTCTCGTTGGAGCTGCAATTTTTCAAGCGATCGAACTTCGCAACGAGAAGAAAGAACGAGCGAATTTTCCGTTCGAGGACATCAAGACAAAGTTTCTCACCAAGCACAACATTAGCGAGAGTGAAATGAACGAGTTCCTTAGGAAACTAAAGAAAGCTATAGAGCTGGGTTTCGATTTGCAGACGGGAGAATTTCCTGATGAAGAACAGTGGCATTTTATGAATGCATTTGTCTTCGCTGGGAATGTAGTTACTACTATAGGTAAGTAAATCTTTAAAAGCTGTTAACTAAAGGCGATTGAAGTAACAATAGAGTAGATTTTGCGCGGAGCGCGGCGTAATTCTTCGCTGGCTTGAAATCCGCGCAATACGACTTACGCATTATGAGCCCTAGCAACAGCTAACAGCGCGCGTGAAATGATAGCTCTATAAGAGCGACTTAGAGCATTAGCAAGCCAAAATCGCTATTTATCTTTGCGCCTCTGTTGCAGGTAGCTCTTAGGTCGCTGATGTGTTATGTTTAGAGCACGATTCGTACTTGTTTTCGACAGAGTTTCGCATGAATTCAAAGAAGTCGTAGTGATGCTTAGACATTACAGATTCGGTCAATTTTGGCTTCGTCTCATCAGAGGCAGCTGTGTCCAATGATTGTTTAATATTTAAATTTTTCAAGGCTTTAAATGTGCCGAGGAAAACGCAGCCAGCAGCACTCGAAGAAATTTATAACATTGAAGAATAATCAGCCAAATAAGAGAGGAAACTCAATCTTCCACGTCGAGAACGAATATTTGGTCTTATTCATCCCTGAAAATGTAATAACAATATGCTTAAATTGGCTGCCCAAGCATAAACCTCTTAGAATTTTTACAGCAGGGATTTATTGGCTGCTTTATCTGCTTGTTCCATTCCATCGTGTAGTACGAGGAAATAAACAATCCTTAAAAATGATGCTACGATGTAGAACACTCTTTCATAATTATGTGTCTATCAGAACTTTGTTTTTGGTTCTGTCATTTCTCTTCGATTAATTGTGTATGTAGGTAATATTATAAGGTATTACGCAAGCCAATTTTATCGGAAGTATTACAAAAGCATTTGAAAAGACGCGAAAGGGTATAGAAATGTCCCTACTATTTAAACCTCAAACATTTACATTTACTAGACAACGGCTAAAGCCGCTCATGATTTATGCTTCTAAATTAACAATCCTCATGTCATTTTAAGGAACGAAGATGATCACTTTATCGAGCTAACAAAGTCTGTTTTCGATATCTTTGTTTTCATTCAACCCGCCTCGCAGATTCTAGCCGCAAAACGCACTGCGGTCATTTGCCGCAACAAAGCACTCAAATGCTTTAGATAAACAACATATGTGGAGGTTAAGTATTGCTTAGCTCGAATGCTAATGTGTTGTAATCAACTAGAGCAATTTTTAGGCGTCTAGTTTTAAGATCCTGGGCCTGGATATTAAGTGAAACTGGCAGTAGAACTGGCGGGAAAAACAAATTTCCAAACTTCAACCGTGGTTTTTGAGTGAACTCTCGATAATTATAATCACAACTTTGACGCGTTGATAGCCCGAACAAATTAATAACAACTTCGTTGGATTTAAAATGGATCTGTATTTAACTTATATGTCGCTCTCACACAAATATTTGTTGGGGCTTAACGTAGTTTAGGCACTGACAGTTGCCCAGGCGCACGAAAAAGGAACACGAGACGTTGGGATGTTAGTGAGAGCACTAAATTTTGCGAGGTTTTTTTTGGCGCAAAACACGAAGAGAAGGTAGCAAATCATGCAAGTGACTTTATATTTATCTCTGCTACTATGATCCTTGGTGTTATTATAATCATTAGTATAGCTATTTTACACTTAAGGTTTATATGTTTTTGAAAATAAACTTGCATGGTTGAGTTGTGCATCTTTTTCCGGCTAAGGGTTTGTACTGTATTTTTTCTCTTCATCAGGTTACGGTCATCTAGTTCCAACTTCGTCTTTGGGTCGTTGGTTTTGTATCTTCTACGCATTAGTTGGAATTCCCTTAACAGGTCTGACTCTTCGTTCCGTGGGTAACCGGATTTCTGAGGAAATTTCTTCGATTATAAAAGGTTTCGAAAGAAAGGTTTACAACAGAGAATCAGATAAACTGGAAATCAAGACTGCCATTATAGCTTTTATTTTGCTACTGGTGATAATAATAATCCCAGCTTTTGGATTTCACG